CAATTGAAGAAAAAATGACATGAGTATCTTGGAGAAGATCCCAATTATAATATTGTATCAAGTTCTTACCCTTAATTTTAGATTTTTTAAAGTAAGATTAAATCTAAAAGAAGATATCCATGGAGTTGTACATTTTCCTTGTTATAAGAGAATAGCATTTTGTATCATTTTTTATTGGATTAACCGAGAAAGATGTATTTGAGAGACTCGGGATCAAATTAGGTGCGGTGTTGATGGTGGATATGAATAAAGGCATGACAACCAAAAGTCTTCAATGATAAGTTAGAAGAAAGAGAACTGATTTGTGGAGAGGGTCCCATGAAAACATTACAAGAAATTTAAATTTTTAGAACTCAACTAGACATCCTATTGATGATATATGTCGTTGTGAGTATGACTCCCCCCGCCGACCCCAAAGTGTTTAGGTACATAATTAAATAATATAATATCATGGGCCACAAGTAAGTGTTTACTCTTTCTCTCAAAGATCCTATGTTGGAGAAGTATCCACGCAATAACTTATATGAATGATACCATTATTGAAAAGATAATGACTAAGAATGGAATTAAAATAATGATTAACAACATCTATTTTAAGAACTTGAATTTTGATTTGAAATTGAGTGAAGATCTTGGAATGAAATAAATGAAATATGGAGGTTGTTTCGAATTTTTCTATCATAAGGAATGTCCACGTTATTTTTATATGATCATTTATGAAAAAATACAAACCATCATGCCATATTTATATGTTTTACTTGTGAGGGTCCACATATATCACTGTGAATTTCAGAAAAATGATGTAAAGACTTATATTGCAGTTTAGAATATATATACTTACTATCTTCTGTAAATTGGTAAGTTGTGCATTGATAGAGATTAAACTTTTTAATGATAAACAAATATAGAAGCATCTTTTCAATGTATGCAAAATTTGGATGACAAGGCAATAATGACTTAACATGACTTGACTTTAAACTAAAACAGACTTAAGATTGAAAACAAAATTAACAAAATTTGAACTGGACTCAAAAATACAACTTGATGGATAAACTTATATGCAAGTGAAATTATTTTCTTTAAGAAAATATAGACTATTATGCATCCAAGCATTGTAAATCACCTTTTATGGAACAAATAACCTAAAAATACAAAGATTAGAATGGAATTCAATCATACATTATAAGTCAAGTAAATTTATTGATTGAAATTCGATTATAATCTAATTTTGAAACATAAAGAATAAAGTATAGGTAAAAATTGTTTGTCAATTGAATTGATCCAGTTCCTGCTACTATGAGAATGAACCATCAGCTATTCGAATTATGAAGTGACTGATACATGAGTTGTAATTTTTTACGACATTGAGGTCTCACATCATGTGATATGAGGCACTAAGGCCCATAATCCAAAGTTTTAATGTTTTGCTTTGGATAATAAAAGCATGCGATAAGATAGCTTGGTGTACTAACAAGCAGATAGGTCGTTTGGCAGAGGATTGTGGTACTTGTCCAGAACTGAAACCATAACTAAACATTTTTTTTGTGTCTCAATTTGCTCTGTGGTGAACAAATTGAATTCTATATTGTTGTCGATAGTGACAGCAACATTTGCACGATTCTCTTTACCATATCTTTTATTAGATGGCTTCTAATCTACAAGTTTGTTGTGTAATTTTCAATATGTTTCCTTCATATAACCAATTTTTTTACAATCCTCAAACCACATTCGTCCTTTTCTAGCCTTATTATACTGAGAGAATTTGTGAGTGCACGAAATTGATCCTTCAACATATGGTGTAGTGTAGTTGTCTGTCAACATCAACTTTTTTCTATTATCTTCCCTTCAAACTTCTGCAAAAGCCTCCTGAATGATAGGAACAGATTTAATTCATATGATTCTCCCCCTGACTTCATCTATATATTTACTGAGGCCAAGAAGAAATTTGATGATATTTTTTTGTTCAGTAATTATCTTATATAAGGCAGTACCATCTGGGCATTTCCAAGAATAAATCCCATACATGTATAATTGCAGCCAACAGCAAGTGAGTATTGAAATATTGAGTAACACTCAATTCTCCTTGTCGTAGATCATGTGGTCTGGTCTCAATCACAAAAAACTCTCAAGAAGTTTCAGTACTAGAGTGGGTTTCATGTGCAGCCTCCCATATCTGCTTAGTTGTTCAATAGACCAAGAAGTTTTTTCCAACCTCTGTGGTCATAGATTTTATTAACCATGACATAACTATGTGATCATCAATTTTCCAAGCCGAATATTTGGACTCTATCACGCTTGGAGTCGAGATTTCACCTGTGAGATGTTCATCATTCCCTCTACCGCAGATGTACATGAAGACGAACCGTGACAATTAAAAAAATTATGGCATTGCAGTTTATGGTTCGTGACAAGATGAGAAGAGTTATCAATTATGATAAGTATTGAAGATGTAAGCTTGGATCTAAAGGTGACTCCGAGCAAGAAGATTATGAGACCATGTTGTATTAGATCATAATAAGAATATGAAGTTAAACATAGTTAGGGTTCAGCTATGTGATTCGATACATGTGATGGAAAGCCCGAATCAAGAAGAAAGACCTGTTGCTCGAAAAAAAAAAAATGACAGGAAGATATGCCTAGACAACCAAAGAGTAGGATTATTGGAGGAGGTTGTCTCTATGAGTTTGGACTGGTGCTAGTATGGTCAAGTCAATTGCAAGCAGAAAACTTGAAGAGGGCAGCTAGAGCAAGCCAAATTGTTTGCAGAGGTTGAACCAAGAGAACAAGGGAAGAACTCTCGATTTTGGGCTGCTTGTGCATGTTTTCCTTGCTCCTGAATGTGAACCAAAGAGACCAGCGAGATGGGCTTTGGCTGTGGAACCGCGAACTGAAACGGGAAGGATGAAAGCGTGATAGCCTGCTCGTTTGATGCGAACAGAGAAGAGGCATCTGTGGTGGTCGCTTCCTATAGCGAACCAAGAAAAGGCTCTCACGTGTGAAACAAGAAAGGAGAGAATGCTTGACACTGTAACAAAGTTAGGAGGTGCTTTGTGATGTGTTCGAAGGGTAGAGAAGTATGGTGGCTACAGTTTTCTCAGGTAGTTGCCAGAATCACAGCAATAGATAAAAATGGTGGTTGCAGCTACCTCACGGTGATAGAGAATGACAGTGGCTCCAATACTACGAAGAAATCCAAAGAGAAATTGTATTCGACACAAATAATAAATTACACCATACTATGCATTTAATAGAGTAACTGACATACCAGTCCACTAAATAGAAAATCAAAATCCCTTTAAATTAAGAACCCCACCTATACAAATGAAGACTATGAAATATTTAATAAAAGAAAAAACAAATATTAAAATATCTTTTGAGTAAAAGAAATAAATTCCTTCCTAATCGAGCACACAAGTTGAGTACTTTCTACAATTTTTTACCTAAGGAAGGCAATAAAGATATGAATTAAGCCAATAAATAACTAACAAAGGTTCATCAAAAACTATTGAAATTGGGACTCATCAACCGTGACATTACCTTAGCAGCCAAAGAGATCACAAGGGGTGATATCCAAACATGTGAAGCTAAATTTAGCGCTTGAGCAATAGCTTGGGAAAATAATATGAATTCATTTTAAATTTGAACTGCAAAATAATATGAATCATTTTAAATTTGGTAAATTGGTAAAGCCAAAGTAGATGCAAAGAACCGCTTCCCATGAATGTGAATAATGGGAAAGTCACATCAATAACTGTGACGAGTTAAGTAATCAATATCATAACTTCAAATATAAGCTTGGGAGACTCAAAGGTATTTACCAATAATTTAAAGCACCTACATGGCTCATCTTTGACAAGGATATTTACCAAATTTAAAGCTTACTTGCGCCATAATACACCATGAATTTAGAATCATTAAATTATAATCATATTGCATGAAATGCAAGAAGTGATTATAATTCAAGAAATTTAGGTCTGCTTTTCCCGCCTTGAATGGTGAAAAATAATTCAAAGGCTCCAACAATAGAAAATAATGCACCATTAAAACTATATGAATTCTATCGAAAAAATAAATTTGCTTAGATTAAACATGTTTATATCTAATTCATCAGTAGAAATATTAAGCTTTGGTTGTGTGAGTAAACCAAATCAACCAGCCAGCATGAATAAACCTAGCCATTGCTAAGCTAGAGTTGACCTCAACCAATCCTATTTTCAAGCTTTAGAATATTTGTTTGTGCTTGATCTGTCTAATTCAGTTGAAACAAACACAAACAGCGAGTTTGGTTTTCCAATTAAAATACCCACAATTTTTATAAAAGAGGAAAAATAAACGTATCGCATAGGAAAAGCTATTTAGGATAAATATAAAACATGAATTGATATTCTTATCTGGTAAACACCAGAAGATCTGAGCGAAGCCTTCATCAGTTTCACGTAATACTCCAAACCAGTCGCTATCAGCTATCAGACCAAGAAAGGCTTAGTTTGCTTTCTTTGCCTAATCTTATGTCCAATAAAGTGAATAATACAATGCTGTATGGACTAGTTGATCGCCCACCAATCAAAATAAATCAAGTGGTAAACACCCTCCACCTAAAGAATATCTTTCTTTGCCACCCAAGTTCCTACTGCATTTTCTTACTAAGTGAATCTTGGTTTTTATACAAAACCAGCCATGATTCACAAAAATTCAAGCAAACCCTCCTAAAAAACTGAGTTTTGAACCATTTAAATAATATCACAAATAACAATTAACCATTGAGCTGTTGTACAACATGCAGCAAACTCACTTGGATTATACCACTGAACAATATTTTGTTCGTTATTATTAATAAAAATCAATCAATAAAAGCTCAAGTATTAGGAATATGCATTGTAAAATGAACAAAGAACATAAAGAGTTATTAAGTGCGTAGAATCCAAGATAACCTGCAACTGTAATTAAATCACTAGAAAAATATCTAAGTATTTTCAAAGGTTAGTATAAATCGTTGATACTTATTATAAGCAGCACGACCAACCATGACGCCACTTGCCCCTTGCTTTAATGCAGCAACAACCTGAAATGGAGATGCAATTCTAAGAAATGACTTTGAAATTGTTGCATCCAATTTTTTTAAAGCAAAAACAACTAGAATTATCAGTAGAGGGGAAAAATATTACATGAAGCAAATACAAAGAATCACTAGAGGAGGAAAATAACTAAAAGAATAAAATACAACAGCAAAGCTTGCAGGAGGGGAGTGAACCAACAGCTAGAAGAGAAAAGCCCAAAAGATCCTCGTTAAAAATGTCAAACATAAAGCTTGTTATATTTTGGAGAGTTCTAGCATACCTTATTTTTCTTCCTTCTTCACATAAAATTTGAAACTTCTTGTCGGGCAATCAATTTTGTGTTAAAAATGCAGACATCGCAAGCCACAGAAAGGAAGTTTAAATCACCCATGTTCCCCACAGCCGAAATAACATCAAGAACAAACAAAAAACCCAAGTAGGTTTCGATCATTAATCATGTGAACTATAGCAAAATAAATTTTAATCATTGGGCATGCAACGTTGGGAAGTTCCAATTCCATAGCAACATCCATAATTGATTCGCAATTTTAAATACAAATCAGAACAAAAGTAAACAAAATTAACACCAACTTTTTTAAATTACACTAGATATTATAAACAGATAATGATATGAATATATCAAAAAGGGATTAACAATAAATGTTAGAGAAGACAGAAAAATACATGCCTCAAAAAATTTAACATGAAAGCCAATGATGAAAATCCCTATGAATTAAGAACACTATAGAAATACACAAGTTGGTCCTCTTGCTTGTAGCATTGTAGTTAAAAGAAGGTGGTGATATTTTTTTTTTTTTCTGGTTCCTCCCCTTTCAGGTGAATAGGATTTGAAACATTCTATAAACCAAAATGTCAAAGCCCTAGATACTCTTCCATCTAAATCAAAAAGATGCTAAGAAACATCATCATCATCATCGTGTTACCAAATTAGAGGGTTCAAAATATCCAAAATGGCCAAAAAGATAAAGTAAAATATAATTTTAAATTATATCCTATTTTTCGCATTCCCTGAAATTGTCTAAATTAATTTTATAAAATTACTTTGATCAAATTGATACATAAAGTACATATGTATTATTAATATATTTAGTTTTATAAAATTTATTTCCGAATTTTAATTAAAAATACTTTAATTTCACTGTTTCCATTAAATTCATTGTTCCCGGAAGTTGACTAATTCCACCTACGGAAACAAGTCACAGTGATCAATTGAATGGTGTTGATTAAATGGGAGGGAAGGAAATATAAGTATACACTTATTCACTCAGCAGCCCTTATTTCCCACTTAACCCCCTCCCGTTACTGGTTATTCCATGACATGGTCGTGGGGGAGCTGGGCGAGAGGCAGAAGGCAGTAGACGGCAAAGTTGAGGAGGGGAAATTAAGGTATAATATAGGAACTGAAAAGCTACAAATTATTGCAATTGGAACTGATGCATTTTTCTAAATAACGACTATTGCGACACAACTAATTAAAAATTCCCAGCCTCAAGCCAGCAGTAGTGGGGGAGCACTGATTGATAAATACTTAGAACTACTTCAGAATAAGATACTGTCGCACTTTCTAGAGCAGGAGAGCCAATAGAAGCTGAAATTTGGGTAATGAGGGGAGAGAATAATATAGATTGTATGACATGCTCAATAAAGAGAAGAATTACCATCGCTATAGTTACCTTTGAAGGAAAAGCTAAAAGATTGTGGCGACAGCAGTTGCAGCAGAAGTTTGGTGGTTGATCTAAAAATTTATTGCATTGAGAGGATTTGTTAAAATATTTAGAGATTGATTTGTACAACTATCAGCTAAGAGACAACAACAGGATAAATTGATATCATATTGGTCCAGGATGATCATTCAATTATGCAGTACTAACTGAGTTTACTATGTCTCGAGATATACACTGTGGGTTATTCCAAATATATAGGAGAATATCATAAATTTTTACCTGGATTGAAGGATATAATTAGACAGCCGATGATTCTTTTTAGGATTGATGATTATTCTACAATGGTAGAAAGAGTTAGAATGATTGGGCTGAACATATAGGCTGCTCGTAGGAGAGATTTTCAGAAGGGGTTCAACAGAGTTCTCAAAATAACCTTTCATTTCAAACCAAGATTTCAAATGCTAAAAAGGTCAAATCTAATAGTTTTAGCAGCCAGAGTGATGCTAAGAAGCGAGGCAAGGGTGGAAAGTTCCATAAGGGCCAGTGTCTATCTGAATGCATACTCGTTTTTTGTTTCACCAACTTGGACACAAAATAAGAAATTGTCCTAATTTGGGATAAAGAGCTCAAGCAGAGACCAGAGTCAGCGTTGCAACATGCCAGAGGAGTTTTAGCAAGCAGAGGATAATTGAGTCCACATGATCAGTGTAAGATCAAGGTCACACCCAATAAATCATTCAACCCAAGGTGTATGCATTATCGCGACAAGAGGCTAAGGATTCACTTGAAGTTATCACAGATACATTTTACATTCAAACTTTTAATTGATTGATATTCTATACATAACATGGAGTATATTTCATTAATATGATTATAAAATCAAAATTTTGGTTATATAATTTAACTTTAAATATTCAATACAAGCATCATATCCCTCCAAAATATATCAATAAAGATATTATTTGATAGGGGGCATCTCACACAATTATTATGGAGCATTTGGTTAGAAAGATGAATTTGAATATCATATGAATGCCAGCAATTTTATTTGTTAAAAAAATCAAATGGAAATCATTTGGAGGTTAGTCAAATGTTTGAGGTAAATTTGACCATTTGAGAGAAAGAATTAAGGCATAATTGATTGTATTCACATTACTTGAATATGATGTAATCATAGATATGAATTAATTATCTAATCATTTCACAAACATATTTTCAAATAAGAAGACAATAAAAATGTATAGACTTGAGAGACAAATAAAATTTTATGGTAATAGAGGATTGACACCTATGATAATCACATGTTTGAAAGCTTTCAAACTATTAAGCTGTGGAAATAAATAAATAAAAATTGCTTGGGTGAAAGATACTACTAAGAATGTGGAATAATTCAGTGATATTTCAGTGGTGACGGAATATCCAAAATGTTTTTTGGATGATTTACCCAGGCCACTACTAATAATAGATAGTATTCACCACACTTAATCATATTCTAAGTCCAGATCTAAGGCACCATATATAATGGCAGTTAAAGAATTACATGAGTCGAAAAGTCAGTTGTTGGAATTATTGGATAAAAGGTTTATCAGTCCTAACACATCAACATAGAGAGCACCAATATTATTTGTAAAGAAGACAGATCGGAGTTTCAAGATGTGTATTGATTAAAGAGAATTGAATAAACTCATTGATAAGAATAAATATATATTGCCAATGATTGATGATTTATTTATCATTTGGAAGTGCTTTTACATTTTTAAAAATAAATATGAGATTAAATTATCGCCGGTTGAGGATTAAAGAAGAAGATAAAGCAAATATAATATTTATGAAAAGATATAGACATTATGAATTTATGGTTATTTCGTTCGAATAAATTAATGCTCCAACAATTTTATGAGTCGAATGAATAGAATCTTCCGACAATTGTTGAATATATTTGTGATAGTTTTTATATATGATATTTTAGTGTATTCAAATGATGAAAGTAGTCTCTCATATCATCTTCATGTTGCTCTACAAGTTTTAAAGAAGAATAAGTTATGTGCAAAATTTTCTAAAAGTGAATTCTAGTAAAATAATGTGATTTTTTTTTCATATGATTACCGAAAATGATACATCTATAAATCATAATAAAACCAAAGAAACTGAAGATTGGTTAATATTGACTGCAGTTATAGAAGCCAGGAGTTTTCTAAGTTTCACTGGCTAATACAGAAGACTTGTTGAAAGGTTTTCTCAGATTGCTATGATGTTATCTATACTAACACAAAAGGATAAATTTTGAATGGAAAAATCAAAGTGACGTGGCATTCAGAAGTTTAAAACTAATTCAATGACCATGCCAGTAATATTCACTTAGGATCATATGATTTTCAAATTTATAATGATGCATCATTAAAGAAATCGGGAAATATTCCTATACAACATGAAGGAGTCATTGTTTATAATTTTAAACAGCTAAAGAACAATAAAAGAAATTGTAAGAATCAAAAATAGTAATAATAATACTTAAATAAGATAAATAAAAGAATTTTTTTTTAATCGACGACAAAGGTTCGATTAATAGTCACGAAAGTTGCTTTAACAGTTGGGTATTTCATTCAAATCACAGGGAAGCAATCATGAACAGAGTACAAGAAACGGAGACGAGGTGAGAGAGAAGTAGAAAAAGAATAAGGTAGTGTCCATCTCAAACTTGTTGTCAAAAGCACGTTTAAGTGGGGGAAGGAAATGGGCATTACTTGCCATCAATTTGACACTTGCGTGCGTCTAGAGAAAGGGGATGGCCTCGTTGCTACTCTCAATTTCTCACTTGTGGTAGGAATGATGATGTTCAGGGTAAGGAGATGAGAAAGGAAGGTCAAAGCCTCGTGTGTGAAGACCAAACCAAACCAAAGGCTTCAACACCGCTTACGGAAGACTCGATCGTGTCTTGTGCGAACGAGAAGAGTTGTGAGCAATATTGTGCGCGGGAGATGAAGAAGATCGACCCGACCATTATTGTGTGAGTTAGAGCAGAATAAGGAGACGACTTGTGCAGGAAAGAAGCCATGTGCAAGCTGCATGCAGAAGAAGAGGAAGAACCGAGCCCTTGCATGCGGAGAGGGGAGAGGAGTTGAAGAGTTGAGTGCAAGAGCTGATTAAGAGTCTGTTTGGGGCAGCTGCAGCTTATTGAATAATTTGCTGATAAACTGATTAAAAATAATCTGTTGATAAGCTAGGTGCGATAGCTACTACAAATTTTTATTTTTTTAGAAAAGCTAGACCGCAATCAGAAAGCTGTCACCGCACCTAGACAGGCACGGTGTGAAAATACT